CAAACGGTCTCTTAAAATGATCATTAACAAAGGTTATGACAAAGGCATTTTGAATAAAAAGGAAAAAGCCTTCTTAGTTCCAACAGCACCGAAACTACCAGTCCTATACATACTGCCGAAGGTCCACAAAGACCCCGTAAAACCACCGGGGAGGCCAATAATAAGCGGTATTGGCTCACTTTGCTCCAGGATTGGGGAATATGTGGACTTTTTTCTACAACCGCTTGTCTTGCAAACTGCAGCATACCTAAGAGACACCAAACAGGTTCTCAATGAGGTTAGCACCATTGTCACTTCACCTGATACTTTTTTAGTAACAGCCGATGTTGCTTCTTTGTACTCGAACATCAATCATAATGATGGTATGGAGGCAGCTGATTTCTTCTTGACGCAATACAGCTCCCTACATACCACCCAGAAGGATTTCATTTTAGAATTATTGGAATTCGCGATGTTCAGGAACTATTTCTGGTTCAATAAAGAATACTTTTTGCAGATTAGAGGTGTGGCTATGGGGGCTAAGTTTGCCCCCAGCCTGGCTAACTTGTTCATGGCCCGGTGGGAGGAGGACCTCATTTTTTCCAGAGATTGGCCTGAGTTGTTGTTTTATAAAAGATATATTGATGATATCTTGCTTTTATGGAATGGGGAGGAGGAGTCTCTTAAGAACTTTTTTAATACATTGAATTATAATAGCCTTAATATTAAGCTCTCATATGTCTATAGTCATGAAGAAATAAATTTTTTAGATTTGACACTTGTTAACCACATGGGTAGAATCATTACTAAGTCATTCTTCAAAACAACAGATCGCAATAGTTTCATCCCTCTTGGGAGTTGTCATCACCCTAAATGGCTGTCCAATATCCCTAAAGGACAGATGATGAGAATTAGGCGTAATTGTGCAGAGGATGAGACTTACCATATTCAGGCCGACATTTTAAAGCAGAGGTTTTTAGAGAAGGGATACAATGGGGCAACCCTTGATCACACTATACGGACAATAGCGCAGATGGATAGAAACACCATGCTGATGGATAAATCAAAGAGTAATCAAAGGAAAATATGCCCCTTCATCACATCCTTCTCAACTCAATATAAGAAGATTAATAAAATAATGAATGATAATTGGGGCATTCTAAAAATGGACCCAGTTTTAACAACAATTTTACCAGATAAGCCTGAAATTGTATTTCGGAAGGCAACGGCTGTTAGGCTTATGGTTGCACCAAATGTCGTCGACCCTCCTCAAAACATATCTCTGTTTAATGATTTGAAAGGGTTTCACCCCTGTAACAAGTGCATTTATTTGTAAGTGTGACAATACTAGAAAAAGGAGAGTCAGCACATTTCAATCATCCATCACGGGTAGAACATACAGCATTAAGCATTTTATCTCTTGTTATAGTAAATTTGTAGTGTATTTGTTGCAGTGTCCCTGTCGCAAACAATATATTGGCAGGACAACAAGACGTCTACGAGATCGACTACGTGAACACGTCTCAAACATTAAGAAGGGGTTTAGGGAGCACTCATTATCGAACCATTACCGCCTTCACCATAATAATGACCCATCTTCACTGAAATTCATTGGTATCGATGTGATCAATAACCATTGGAGGGGTATTAACAAAACCAGGGCGGTTTTCCCAAGCCGAGACTAAATGGGTGTTTGAGCTCCAAACTTTACACCCTTTAGGCCATAACATTGAGGTAGACGTAAACTGCTTCATTGCTAACAGCTGAGTGGTTTATGTCTTTTTCCCATTTCTGCTTTATGTATTTTGAGCCTATTTTTGTCTGACATGTATTGCTGATTAATCCTATTCCCTGCATTTAGTTGCACTCTTAGCGTGCTTCTTCTCCATGTGTTGGAATACCGTTTCATTTTATTCGGATATTCATTCAGCCTGACTGATCAATACTTATTGGTCATATTAGTATTATGATCTTTCCTTCTGCCCCGTTTGACTTCCCAATTTTTATGGCGGTTGCAGGAACGATCATGACGGCCTTTTCTATGGGCTATTTTTAGGGTCTTTTTTACCTCTTTTTATCTCCTGTTTGTTTTATACATACTTATCATGAGTATTTGTAATGTATATAATTATTACATTTACTCTGGTTTGATTGGGTAGTGTATCACTAATTTTGTTATTCACTGCCCAGATCTTATACCTTGTTTTTTATCTCCATTGCTTTTATATAAGTCTTTGTATGATTTCATTTATTATATTTATTATGTTGTTCTTCATCTTGCCGTGGTCCGTTATTGCAATCTTATGCCAATCACTGAAGGGGATTTTTGTACCCCATACATCATGCGCACAGGTACTGCTATTTTAGTGTCACTGTCACTGTATTAAGGGTAATAATATTTGACATAGAGTCCCTGGGGTCTGCGGCATAACTAACAAACGGCACTGGGATCCTGTGTTATGAGACTTCTGTGTCTCCCCCTTGCTTTCTGTACGATCGCGGATCCACGGCAAAATGGCGCTGCCGTGCTCGCGCATGCGCAGTACATGCTTTCTCCGGGAAAATGGCCGCGGCTAACTGCGCATGTGCCGTTTTTCCTATTTTAACATTGACGTCGGTCACGCTCCTGTACAGCCTCCCCTCTGATGATGTGCCTGTAGCACGAAAGGCCTTAGGAGGAGCTGTGCAGAGCGTGACGTCATTCCACCGCCGGAGCCACGAGGAGGCCCGGCGGTCAACACTATCAAGGGTCAGTACTGCTGCATATCTATGTCATTATAATATGATTTACATGCATACTGCCCTGTTACTGCCCTGTTACCTTTTTCAATAAAGCACTGATTTTTGGACATACTACACTATTTCTGGCATCTGTCTCTGGGGCTCCTATTGGAGCTTTCATTCCCACAGTGAAAACACTTTTGCCATCCTGAGAGGAGATTCCTTTACAACACCTGGCTGACCTTAAGGGGACCCCTGGACCTTATCAAAGAGTCTGTGATGACCCACCATGAGGGAGATGCCTGGCTGCCTAACCTTTGATGTTCCCATTGCCTGTGATGCATAATCACACATGCGCATATCCTATGCGTTTCCGGTGAGTGCGCATTTCTACTATTTTGACAGAGTGGAGGCCGTGGGAATTCGCATCCATGCAGTGATTTACTGCGGATACCTACACATTGACTTTTTTACTTGGTTAAGCACTCACTGTGGTTACCTACTTATTGTCTTCCTCACCTGGTTAAGCGCTGCACTTTATTGTTTTAAGGTCATATTGATATATTTCTGAGGCACTGTGGTTGCCTATAGTGTTCTAGCTGCTGACATTGTTAGAGAGCGCTCACTATCTTGTATACTAAATGCATGTGTGCTCTCTATGTGATTTTTTTTGAGGGTTAAAAGAAGAAGAGGATGTCACTTTATTAAGAATTTAAAGAATCCTGAAGAATTGTAAAGACACTGAAGGATACACATTGATGGAGTTGATTTGATTGGACGCTGGGAAATATTTTGTTTTGGACTTCTTGGGGAGGTCTTGGCGACCAAGGGTTGGGTGATTTATATTGCATGGAGTGGTTTAGGTTGGATTATATTGTATACCATGCAAAGCTGCACCAGATCATTATTATTATTATACAGTATTTATATAGCGCCAGAAGGTTTGCTTAGCGCTGTACATTATAGTGGGGGACAGGACATGAGACAATACAGTAACAAAACAATACACAAGGGTTCGAGGGCCCTGCTCTTTCGAGCTTACAATCTAGGAGGGAGGGGTTAGTGGTACAGGGGGAAGTGGCTGTGGGGGATGGAGTGGTAGGAGGAGTGGAGGAGATCAGCTGTTAAGTGAGGGTGGGGTAGGCTTCCCTGAAGAGATGGGTTTGTAGGGTGCGCCTAAAGGTGAGGAGGGTAGGTGACAGTCTGATGTATTGGGGTAGTGAGTTCCAGAGGATGGGGGAAGTCCTGGAGAAGTCCTGCAGTCGGGCGTGGTAGGAGGAGACCAGGGAGCTAAAAATTAGGAGGTCTTGTGAGAAGCGAAGAGTACGGGTTGGGTGGTATTTGGGTATCAGGTCGGTGAGGTAGTTTGGGGCAGTGTTATGGATAGCTTTGTATGTCAGTGTTAGTATTTTGAATTTATTGCGCTGGGCAATCGGAAGCCAGTGGAGGGAATGACAGAGGGGGGTGGCAGAAGAGGAGCGGTTGGTAAGGTGGATGAGTCTGGCCGCTGAGTTCAGGATAGACTGAAGCGGGGATAGCCTGTGTTGGGGTAGGCCGGTGAGAAGGGAGTTGCAGTAATCCAAACGTGAGATAATAAGGGAGTGAACAAGTTGTTTAGTAGTGTCTGGGGTTAGGAACGTAACCCCTATACGTCTGAATTGTGCATTGTAACTATATTGAACTGCACATTTACCATATGTACACTGTACACTGTTCATTATCTAGTTTATACTCATCGAGGCTCAATAATGTGGTAGTAAATTGTAAAACCAGAAAAAAAAGATTTAAACCTGCAAGGCAATGTTATAATATGCTAGTATGCATCACATACTGGCACATTATAAGAGGCTTACCGTAAAATGAAGCCCTCCAGCAGCGAGCTGACAGGGCTTCCATGTTCACCTGGTCTTCCTTCCTGGTTCGCAGGACCCAGCTATTTGACTGGCCAAGACGCGATAACGTCATGCTTGGAAGTCACGGCCACAGCACAGAGCTTTGAAGGGACGGCATGAGTATGCTGTTCCTTTGGAGCACATGCACTAGTGACGGCACGGGCTACTGTTTGCAAGAATATCTCCTAAATGGTACTCATTTAAGAGATATTCATTTTAACTACAGGTAAGCTTTACTATAAGCTTACCTGTAGGTAAAACTAACAGAAATGAGTTTACTACCACTTTGAGGCTACCATGGTGTACTAAAATCTGTGTTTTTAATGTATGGCTACATTTTGTAAAATGGAATGTACTTTAGTGGCTCTTTCCAGGCAAATCATAGCACACCTTTCTCTTTTTGTACAGGTTATAGGGAAAGTGCCAACAATTTCAATTAACAAGACAGATGGCTGCCATGTTTACCTGAGTGAAAGTTCAATAGACTGTGAGATTGTGAGTGCCAAATCATCGGAAATGAACATCCTTATCCCAAACCATGGAGATTATGTAAGAGAAAGCTGTGTCTATTTTTAGTGATGTAACTATATAAAAATTCAGCTATTTGAATTAATTTTGTCCATTTGTGTCCTATCACTATCATTATCCCTTCAGAAATGAAATATTGTATTGTCTTTAATTTGATACAAGAGCTAACTATTTTAGTAATATAAAGGGGAAAATACAGATTCCCCTTTACAGCAAAGAGAGATGTTGATGTGTTAAGTCAAGGGTTTCCAAACTCTCCAAACAAAGGGCCAGTTTACTGCCCTTCAGGCTTTATTAGAGCCAGACTGTGGCCAGTGGGAGTGGAAAATTCCCTGGCATCAGTGGCAGTAAGCAATGTCTCATCATTGGTATAAGTGGGAGGAATAGTTCCCCATTATTGGTGTCAGTGGGAGGTATGTGCCCTATCATTATTATCATTTGAAGGAATGCGGTCCCGTTGATGGCGTCAGTGGGAATAATAGTATTCCATCGATGGTATCAGTATCTCAAGGGCCAGATAAAGGCAAGCAAGGAGCTGCATCCAGCCCCAGGCCACAGTTTGGAGACCACTATGCTAAATGCATACCAAACCATAATGTATCAAAAGTGCTTATTGAAATAATATCAGAAGGGTTTCTGGAATGTTAATGTCATTTGCACTTTCCCGTTGACTGAGTAAACCCCAATGTGACCTTCATATTGTACTTTGATGGTTCATCTTATTGATGAACAATGCAAATACAACAAATTTACTATGGAATGAGCCTCTCCTATGAAATATGAAATTCATCCACTAACCTTACTTTATATATGCATTTGTGACACTTAAATTGTATAATGGTGGCCCACATAATTTTACACAGAAGATGAACTGCAGGTGAAGAGTTACATACACATATGCAAATTTTGTGAACTATTTTATCTACAAAATGATTTGTAGTTTTATTTGTCTAGTATTTTGATCCAGGCACCCTACCAGATAGCAAAGCCAGGTCTGTGACATCATATTGAGCTTTTGCTGCAGTTATTATTATTATTATTAGACAGGATTTATATAGCGCCAACAATGTGCTCAGCGCTGTACATTATAAAGGGAGACAGTACACGAGACAGTACAGTAACAATACGATTCAATACACGAGGGGTTCGAGGGCCCTGCTCCTTGTAGCTTACAATCTAGGAGGGAGGGGATAGTGGTACAGGAGTTAAACAATATAGTTTGGTCATGGACCCACCACCCTCAGCTCTACTGCAGCAAACATAAGAAATTTTACAACTAAGTTTCTGCTGCTTTTAGGAGCAATGCAGGATTTTTTTTGACTGCAGCACACAATATAAATCTGGCAGCTGAGAGGCAGCTGTAGAAACATTGTATGGCATCTTACAGTACCGTAGCAGAGACTATTGCAACTCCCCCCTTGTTGATCTTCTTCTGCACAGGCTATATGCCCTTCAGTCTATCATGAATGCTGCTGCCAAACTCATCCAACTTACCAAGCACTCATTGACTGCTAAACCTGTCTGCCAATCCACCCACTGGCTCCTGCTCACCAAACTAATAAAAGTTCAGAATACTAACAACATACAACTCCATCCATAACTTTGCCCCCATCACCAATCTCATCCCAAAATATTCCAAAACTGTCCTCCTCAACCCTCCCACGACCTTGCGCTCTATAGCTTGTTTGTTACCTCCTCCCATGCTCACCTCCAGGACTTCTCCGGAGCCTCCCCAATCCTCTGGAACCTCTTACCTCAATCTGTACAACTCTTGCTCCAATCTGTCCAACTCTGTCTTTAGGTCTTCCCTGAAAGCCCATCTATTTAAGGAAACCCATCTTGCCTCTTCCTAACAGCTGAAATTTTACTATCACCATCATCTCATCCGCACACATTTATTACCTTTATTATCACTTGCCTATCCTATTTGGATTATAAGCTGTCATGAGCAGGGCCCTCCTAACCCTCTTCTCTGGAATTGTGTTGTAATTGCATTGTCTCCCTTTATATTGTAAATGCTGCATAAACTGTTGGTGCTATATAATAATATGCAAGAAGATGTGGCAGTAGCTGGTGATGGTGGCAGGTAGAATTTTTGAGGGTGGTGCAGTCCTGATGACAATTTAAAGGCCTGTCTCTTGAATCAACTGCTTTAGGTTGTAGAAAGACAGCGCTGGATTTCTTGGGCTGTAAGGATGTGTTTTTTAAAATTCCGCAACTACAGTAGTTGTAGCTGCTGCTTTTTACTTTTTTGCAAACCTGGGTGACTTACCTCTTAAATTTTCCCACTGGTCTACATGAAAAGAAGAGCTTTAGCTTTAATTTTTTTAAGAGTAAGCTTTCCTATACTTTTAAGTTGTGGCTTCTACTACCTCCAATTAATTCAGGCTTATTAAATAAGATAAGACTTATTACTGCTTAATAAAAAAAATCAAGTGTCACAAATGAAAGTACCAAAAATATATTAAAAGGTGAAGTTCTGCTTTAAGGCCTCCTTCCTTGCTCCTGGTAAGGAATTGGCACTTTTGGGGAGCAGGTGTGCTGGCCCCCCACAGTCTTCTGGGACATGGGACAGGTCCCAGAAGACTGTGGGACCATTCACAATGCTCAGCGGGGCTTGGCATGAACAGCAGGCACCTGGCTGTGAAGCCGAAAGCTTTCACAGCCAGGTGCCCACAATTAAGATGTCGGCGCCAAGGACTGAACACGATCCCTCTTGCCCCCCTTGGGTGAGCTCATTGCTGGATCCTGGTACTGGTAAATGTCTGATTATTAAAAGTCAGCTGCTACAGTTTTTGTAGCTGCTGACTTTTAATTTTCAGAAAAATTACTAGAGCTCCTCCTTCTCAGACTTTTTCAGAAATGCCTTGGTGCATGTGTTAGAATTTAAAACTGTACATAGAAGTTTAGTATGATTTGGGTTTTATATGTAGCAGTTTCAACAAGAAAGCTCCCACTGAAAAAGCCAGACTCACTATGATTTTTATCTTTGTTCTGTAACAACAACTTCCTGAGAGTTTCAGTGGGCAGAAGTTCTTAATCCAGGCTTGTCTGATTTCTAAAGGCCTAGTCATTCATGCAATTTGAATCTCATTCTCTCCAGTTTATGTATTGTATCCCAAAGTTGACATAATCTTCTCTGTTGGTTTTATCTCCCCGCAGAGAGAATTTCCTGTTCCTGAACAGTTCAAGACATCATGGGATGGCTCAAAGTTGGTCACTGAACCTGCAGAGATGATGGGCTAATTTAATACTGTCATTTTGTAAATGCATCCAACCCAGTAGATGTTTTTAAAGCTGCATTTAAATTGGGGCATGCTGCATGCAGCCTTAGTGTGCAGTATACATAAAAAATCATATTAATCTAATGAGCATTTCCATCAGATCGTCCTGGAAGCAATTTATAGTGAACTTGCTGAGAAAGTAAAAAGATTTATTAATAATACCTTGCTGACCTTTCGAAAGATAGAGTAGGCTTTTTAGCACTAGCTGTTTAAATACAGTATCATCCTCCATACATAAAGATATTCTTCCAGAGCAAGCTGTGTAATTCAATCTTTCATTATCAAATTTGTTTAATTTGCAGTTCTATTTTTCTCTTATGTTGAATGTAGCCAGAAATGTATTTCTAATATGACCAAGATTTAACGGTATCCTAAAACTGTTTGTGTATGCATGCTGATCGGACTACCATAGATACGTACTACTATAGCAGTCTGCCTGCACAATCAAATGTCTCTTTAAAATGTACTACCATCATTGGTGCATTGGATAATATCAGAAAACACTTTTTTTACATGTGCCTGGCTATAAAAATGGTTTTGCTTTTACAAGGTAATGTTTTTACATTCAAAAACATGTGTAGTTGATTTAGTCTGTGGTACGTGGACTTAAACACTGCTTAAGCAGCAATTACAAAGTTATATACATAATAAACAAATAAAAAAATTCATAAGTATCTAACACAATCAAAATATGTGGAGTTGAGGATCGCCAGGCAGCAAACTAACATTTGCTTTAGTCCTTCAGAGCACAGCTACAGTTGAGAATGAAGATGGTGACATGCACTTTATGGTATGACATACAGTATGCATCAGGGGCGGACTGACCATTTGGAAACTTGGGCACTGCCCGAGGGCCCAGGGTCAGTAGGCGGCCCCATGAGATGCCCCTGGTACCTTTTTCAAAGGCTTTTTTGAGTTTGGGCAAGGACACAGGGGCCCCATGATCCCCTATTGCCCGGGGGCCCCATGAGTTGTCAGTCCACCCCTGGTATGCATAATTACAACCTTATTATCACCAAATGTGTTGTCATGCAGTTTGCTGTTTTCTCCAGCAAAAATGCACTAACAATAAAAAAAAAACAAAACATTATTTTTCATCAATAGTGGCTTTCAACAGTACATTTCTTGGCACTTAAAAATATGCTGTATCCTGATTTTTTTGTGCATTGACCTTTATTTCTCAAAATTCCTTTAGTTGTATGGGTTCCTTAAAAAACACAAACCATTTGAAAGAACATGGCAAAGCACTCACGTTAACATGTTGTTCTAGTGCTTTTCTAGTGGGAAGAAGTCCTAATTGTGTAGGACTTCAATATTTCACAATCGCGCATTCAAAATTTCATATAGTTGTGCCTATTATAGTAATAAAGGAAAATTTTAGTTACATTTTTTTTTTCCCTGAGAGGAAGGTAACATTTTACATACAACTCCTTTCAATAACATGTACAGAATGCATACTGCTTGTAAAGTTGGTTCAGTAGTCTCATTTTTGGTATAATATTACTAAACATATGTTTATGTATCCCCTGTTGTTTGTAACCTGGAACTACAGTTCTGAATCTTATGTATCAGTAGTCACATGTACCATTTTTGTAAATTTTCTTTGCCACTGAATAAATCATAGAAAGGCCTAATTATCTAGAAGTAAATCAAATCAAACCAACTAAATGCATGTTTGATAGCTTTCCTGTTGCAAACAACCCAGAAACAAGCATTAGCCATTTATAGTGATGCAAAGTGTACTGCAACAATCATAGCGTGTGCCACATTATATCATATATACTCCATTGTATGCATACTTTCACATTTACCGCACCATAAAATGGAAATATAGTGGGAAATGTATTCAGACGCAGTTAATTAAATATCAACATTAATTAATTCCCCAGATATTTTATGACTAAGAAAAAAAATAGCAGTACAAAAATAATTAAAATATTATTGGTCTGCTTCCAGCTATTTTATAGTGCATTTATAATTAAACTGTGTTAGGAGGTAATATTTTAGAATGCATGTAAGTCACTACAAAAGAAGTTATAGACAGCTTGCTCACCTCACTTCATGTTATTTTACTCTACTTGTAGAACAATGACCTCTGTATTTGTAGGTGTCCATATGCAATTCATTTAAGGTCTGGAATGGTCTATTCTTAACCATGGGGTGCCCATAGTAGGATAACACAGTTATAAGATGGTGGCCTGTGTCTGCAGTTATCATATCAACACTTATCTTGTATTCCTTGCAAGTTTGGTTCAATTAGCTAAATCACTATAATGAAGTTAGCAGAAACTGGGAAGAACATATATGAAGAATGGAAAGAAGCATTAGTTAGAGAAAGGTTTAAAGAGACCCTGTCAGCAGTGTAATAAATGTCAGTAGGAGCACAGAAAAAACAACTCTTTTAAATATATATTTGCAGCATTTTTTCTTTCCTTTAATTATTTTTTTCATTTACTTCCAATGTGCCTTTGAACTTGCTAAACAGATGTGACTACTCCAGTAGAGTCAATTCCCTGGCACAGCTCTATCTCTTTTTGTATGTCATAGCCCTCTCCTCTACTGGGGGTGTCTAATTACTCCCTACTACTCTCTCAAGCTCCTTTTATGTAGCTACTGAGGGAAGCAGCGAAGGGGAATACTACAGAGTGACAGCTCTGAGTCTGCTGGAGCTGCCAACATCCCATCCAAGATGGCGATGCCCAGCAGCTGCCACAGGGCTTTTGGAAGTCTACACCAGGGAGGCTTATACAGGTAAAGAACATAAACATGGTAAATGCGCATATAATCTTTTGGGAATATTTTTTTCTTAATGGTCTGGTGATAGAGTAGAAACACATTAGAGTCAGGACTTGGATTTCCTTTTGAGCTACTTTGCAGGTGAATTTGCAAGCAGGTAGGTAGTGGTTCACTGCTGTAATAATTCAATAATTAATTCCAGTGGTGACCATGGTGCTGATTGGTTAACTTCTGGTAAGTGTACTCAGACATTTTGGGGTTTATTTACTAAAGCTGGAGAGTCCAAAATCAGACTCCCTTCTGCATAGAAACCAATCAGCTTCTAACCTCAGCTTGTTCAATGAAGCTTTGGCAATGAAACCTGGAAGCTGATTGGTTTCTATGCAGAAGTGAGTCTGATTTTGGACTCTCCAGCTTTAGTAAATAAACCCCTTTGTGTCTCATTCATTCTCAAAGCAGAGTTTTAAACATGATGCTTTGTGCATGATCCGACATTTAAGCTCTCATGACAGGGCCTCCATCTCTGCACACATCTACATATTTCTGTTAACTTGAGACCTTTGTAGTGCTGTACTCCTATTGTGGAATTCAATTATGCTTTATTGTAAATGCTGTTCTTTTCACCATGGACAATCTTATGAGGTTCTGTACAGGGTATTCAGTGTGTGCACAGTGAATGCATGTCACGGTTGCCACCATACACTGTGGCTTTTTGTATTTAAGTATTGTTTCCTGCCTCAATATGCAATAAACAAACACCATTTTGAAATAAAGCACATATCTTTGGGCAAATATAGGTTACCTTTAAGTACTTGTTGGATGCACTCTATTAACATTTCTATGTAAATGAGCTTAATATAATAATACGTTAATATATATTAACTACTAGTATAACTACTGTTTCCTTGGATGTAGTTTATAGTTATGTTTAAACTGGGGAGCAGAGGCGCACTACATACTGTATAGACAGATTCTCTTTATCCCTGTATGTTCTGGTACCAATCCCAGAGAAAACTGAAAGGCCAGTTTTCTCCTAATAAGACACGCAACCTGGAGCCCCTCAATCAGCATCAGTGAGAGCCCTGGGTGACACCATATTCTTCCAACACCAAGAAAAAGGTGTGGTTTGAGGTTACAGCAACAATGCGAAATGTATTATTTAAGTCTCACATTGACATGCTGTATATTACCAACAGTTTTGGGCAAATTCCCTTCATTAAGCCAAAGATTATAAACGGTCAGTACATTTGTTGAGGAATTACGTCAGATTCTGATATCAGGCCACCTTACCTGCATCCTATCCATTCTATGCATTGTAGCAACCATAAGAAGTAGCTATATGCAGATTACCTGTGTTATAGATTTTGTTCTTTGTCTGTGACTCCTGTACTGTATAAAATGTACAACTCCAGCAGCTGCTTAATACTTTGCAGTGTAAGGTAGACTTTCATGAGGATAACCAGTGTTCTCAATGGTCAGTTAAAATGGTAGAGTTATCATTTTGGATTTGTGACTTATAGATTCTAAACTTGGGTATTTGTAAGAACAATATGCATTTAGGTATGCGTTGCATAGTCCACCAAGGCAAAAAATTAATTCACTGTGTCAGTTAGTCAAAAAAGTAATAAATTATAGTAAGATTAAAGGCCATAGATTATGTGATTTTTTACCTTGCAACCAAGGGTTGCAGGGAAAGAAAATTGCTTGATTCCCCCATCAGCACAGTTAGTGTTGATGGAGGAATCCCTTCCACTGAGCTATTGTGTTCTCCCGGCAGGGGGATGGTGAAATCTCTTTCTAGCCCTGGTGTAGGGCCCCATACCCTCATACAAAAGCTGTTTTTTTTAACACTTAATATGGCAGAACCGGTGCAAGTTCCTCCCAATGCAGGGTGTATATAAGATGCATTTTATTATTATTTTGCATTTTTGATTATGTGTAAAAAAGCAGGAGCATACCACCATAAATATGCCTGGTACTACAGGGAATTACCTTAACAGATTCACAGAGCTTGTATACCTCCACCCAACCCTGCTGTTGAAATCAATAGATTTTTGCAAATAAACATACGTTTGATACTGGCAATGCCAGACCAACCAATGTAAATACATATGTGTCATCTTTTGCTTGTAATTAAGTAAGTGCTGGATCTTTGAGGTCATCTTATTGGTGGTATTGGTATTCTTTCTTAATGCTATGATGTTAACGTACAGTAGGTGATCTGGT